CAAATTGAAACACGGAGGAATCGTCAAAGACTGAAAACATGTTGACGAAAATCTGAAGCTCTATCCTTTACTGATCACTACCCATACGAAACTACTCATACTGACTTTAATATTGGTTGACAAATCCACTGTTGCCCTTCCTAGAGTATATATTACAATCTATACCTATACCTGCAAATCTCAACTATTGCAGCCTGAACTCAACGACCCAACCGACTCGAACTCAACATTTGCAAACCCGAAGAATCCCTGGCCACAATAAATTCTCTGACCAATGGCCACCTGTCGTGGATCCACTCATCCTTTCTTAAGCACATAGACAAACATCATCTCGCCTTGCACCGTGTCTCATCCACCAATAACCCATGTCTCATATGTCCGCACCACATATCTCTATAACCAGTTCTCTAACTCCACTTGAATGGATCGCTGATCCTCTCAATAGAATACCCAGTTTTCCCGCACTCAGGGTTCGAACCATCACCAATTGGCATACCAACAATCTATTCCATAGACTATTTCACCATGTACATCACACTCGACTCTTGGAATCGTACCACGTAACACTCGATGATGTTCCCGATAAGGACCAAGCAACTCTAAATTTCCCAAATCTCAGATGAAGTCCTCGGAATCATCCCCACATGACTGCCTCTAGTCATCCTGAAATCTCATACCGACACATCATCGGATATCACAACTATCCCGAAATAGCCATGACTCTCAATCTAGAAGTAATGAACTATCACACATCGCGTCTCCGGTCCCTCAACGAACATTCCATCATGTGGATCATCATAGAAGCAAGAGACCTCACTCTCACAGTCGATACACACATAGGCAACGAGGGCCGCCACCACGATATACTCCTCATGATCGCCTGAATTTGCTGCTAAAAAGTATGCCTTACTCAACTAAGGCAACTCCTTGTCCTCATTCATCTTAGTCCCTACCAATGACTCTTTCATGGCATAAGAAATACCTCGCAGCAACATATCCCAATTACTCTGGTGAACACATCTCAACTATATGATACCCCCACAGAACTACCTCCAAACTCTGGAACCGGGAGCTCGTTATCTCGTTCGCTCCATATGAGAAGTGAAAATAGTGTATTCTTCTTCACAGGATGTGACATCTCAACCATCGGTCGATCACTCAACCCAGACCGCAATCCTCCTCTGCATATCACCTCCACTTTTCCTCAAGTCCTGTGACTCCAACTGGCAGCTCACCAGTCAACTCATCGGGATCTAAACTCAATCCCCCAAGAGGTATACTCTATCGAAGCTCAACTGACATGGCCCCCTTTCCCCACACTTTACCTTATCCATTCCCGGTCTGAACACCCATCGCCGGATAACTGGTAAAAATGGCAACACACTCTGCTACGAATTATGGTACCCGAACCATGTTATCTCCCTACTACCAGCTATTTAGAACCTGTGGAATCCTCCTTGTTTCGAGTATGAGTCCTCTGCTTTCAGTAGTACGGGCCTATACTACCTGCCACATCTACCCATACTTTCCACACGGATCGTCCCAGGTTTCCTAAGTAGCTGCTCAACCTCCTTGATCACCAATCCCATTGCAGATGGTCGCTCTCCAGCGAATACTCTCCTCTATTAGCGTACTCATTTGAATAAGGTATCTCCCTAGTCTCTTCCGAGGTTCTCACACCTCTCTACCATCAAATGTTGAAGATCTCCTCATGATGCCAGCCACCTACCTCCTGAATATCGTCATATTCACTCAGTAGCCGACTCCCATCATCAAGAGTTCTAAAAAGCACAAAGCAAGCAGCATTCGATCATGGAATAACCTTCACCAGCACGTAAAACCACTATGGTATATAACAGCTCTCGCTCTATCCATAACATTCGGTCATGGAATAATCTTGTAAATGTCATATTTGTTCCAGAAAATCTGATATTTTCCTTAAAATGTGTAATGCAGTCTTATATCCAAAGACCGAAATGTACATGTAACCTTTCTTATAGAAAATAATGTATGTTTAAAGCGACATAAACACGTTTGAATTCAATGAAATTCCCGTAAATTCTTATGTTTGTTAATACTTTCTGTGAGTTATTATAACCATGCTATGACCTAGTTGGCCTGAAACGACGTTCTTCAAGCGTTAAAAATGTTATGACATTTGTCACCCTATACCCACCGGTCTAACTATTGCATGCAGTTAAGGTGTGGGTTTGTCAAACCCAATATAGATCTATATACAACTATCACACTCTCCCTCCAGGAGACTCTGGTTAGAATACATGACTTATTGGTAAATGTGAAGCAAATGTCTCATAAAGTCATTAATGATATTACGTGTGATGTAATGAAAATCCCTTTTCATATAAATGTACCCTTTTTGTATGAGTGTCTTATGCAATGTATCATAAACTATACATATTATAATTTATCAAAACAAGGGTAGTAGTGGTAATGTACGTAAACTATATTTAACATAGTTTATTCAAATGTTTATATGAAATGGATGTACTTTGATTATAACAATTTGTTATCTCTTATATTCCATATATATGTATCAAAATCCATTTATCAACTAATGCATATCTATATACCACGACAAATTGCCATTTATTTTCAAAAACATATATTCACATAAAGATGTACACCTTGCTCGACATGTTACAAGGTGAAATGAAATTGTTAGTATTTTTCTGTTATTAACAGTTTCTATTATTGTTCTTAGAAAATTTATAGAAAAAACATAATAGATCCAAATCAGAATCCGTAAATTCTAGGAGTTTGGAAAACGAGTCTAGTTTGTTCATAAATGTTCCCATGATTTTTAGTGACCTCCAACTTAGGTGAAAACGTCCATGAACACAGATTGGTCCAGATTGGTTCTTGAAATGATAGGCAGTTTTGTAAAAATCATCATAAATTGTAGAAAAATCGTATGCAAATGTGCAAGTAGCCATTTTAAAGATAAGAACTTGAAATACTTGCTCCTTGTACATTTTGGAAAACTAAAATGTTTTAGTTGACCAAAATAGTCCGTGAATGGAGTCCAACTTTTCTGATAAAAGCTGTTAGAAGCATTTAGTTGTGTTCTTGGTGATTTAACTTGTATTCCTCCCCCCCCCCCCCTAAAACTTAAGAAAATATGAAAATGTAGGGGTATGAACTCACATTGAGTGATTTTGGTGGATGGATGTTGGAGAAGGGAAGTGTTCATCTCAATAACACTTAGAAGATTTCTTGAAGATTCGAAGATCTAACACAAGTATGATGAAGTTTGTGTAAGTAATCTATGATTTGAGTAGAATGGAGTGTAATGATCACAAGGAGTATGAATTTTACTTACCAAGAGTGTAATAAGGTTGATGATCAGCCTTGAATCTCGAATTTTTAGAGAGAGAAAGTGGGAGGAAAGTTGTGTTTGATTTTTGGTAAAATGAGAGAAATGAGTGAAGTGTGGAGTGTGGAGTGATGTTCCAGCTCTAATAATGTGGGTAAAGCGTTGGAAATGATGAAAAAATACATTGACATGACCTAGGCATGGTAGAAGGAGTGTGGCTGGTCAAGGAGTGTGTGTGAGGGGTTGCTTGTATCATAAGCTAAAGGAAAGTCAACACTCCACCTTTATTACTCCAACCACTAAATCTTGGATAAGATTTGCATTAAAAATGTGGATAATTAAGACATATGGGTCTTAATATGTTAAAATAAAGTTTTTGGTGAAAATCCCGCTTTAAAATGATGAAAAACGGGCTTAAAATGCTAAAAATATTGAAAATCGGGCAAAAATGGTAAAAATCTAAAGTTCTGGCCGAGGTTGCAGGGTCTCGGCTCCTAAGAAGCTTAGAACCGAAAGTAGGGTTTCGATTGTTCATGGGACCGAAATTAGGAGAGGGACCGAGAGAAGGGAAAGAAGGAACCAAAGGTGCGGAGAGAAGGGGCCGAAGGTGAGTTTCGGTTCAGGCGGGTTTCGGTTCAGGCTACTCGGTTTCGGCTGCTTCTCAGTTTCAGTCTTAGGGTCTCGGCTGCTTCTTGGTTTCGGTCCTAGGGTCTCGTCTCCTTAAGGCTGTTTTTCTCGTTTTTACCCTGTTTTAAGCCGTTTTTGACCCGTTTAAGGGTCGGGATGGCCCGAAAGACTATGAAAAGTTACAGGAACTTTTGAGAGAGATTTGGGAGAGATTTGAGAGAGATTTGAAATAGAGAGATAAAGTGAATACAATTGAGGGAGGTTTCATCTGTGACATTTTTGAGTGTCCGGCTTCGCAATGCAAGGTCCGTAGACCCCATTAAGCCATGTTTTAGTGTCCTACACACTCCTAATGAGTGTGTAATAGTGTGTTATCGCTTTGGTTCAATGATTAGCATTACCACAACTATGAAAATTCAAACATACGAATCTACCAATTGATGTTTTGTCATTAAAATAGCGGATTGTTTAGTAATTACACAATGTAAACCCTAATATACAAGGGCTAATTGAGTCGTTCGGTTTGACTTGTTGACTTTGTTTGACTTTGACTTGACCCGAAATTGACTATTGTCACAAAGAGTTTCTAAGCACAGTAACTCTTATTAGAGTATAATGCCAAATTATCAATATGCATGTTCCAAAAAATGAAAAGAATGACTCGGATTAAGGAATTGTCAAGTAACACCAACCCCAATATTTTTATTAATCTTAAATCTTAAATTCCTTATTATTAACTACGATATAGTATAGTCATTGAAAAAAAAGCTCGTGAATTGCATTTCATTTTTCAAGATAGAAAAAAAAAACCAATATTTTTTAGTCTCAAGTTACAATTAATGATTAAAAAAAAACAAAAAAACAAAACTAACCAAAAACAATTCACAAATGATGATTAAAAAGTAGTTATCGGATATCATAAAAAAAACTATTCTTTATTTGATTAGAAAAATAGATACAGCCAATGCATTTATTATTGCTTAATTGATTGGAAAAATAATTATAAGCAATACCTCTTAATTAATTTATTGATGCAACCATGATGAACGTTGGCGGCAAAAGGATTCCGCCGGCAGTCACATTAATTGACACAGCAGCGGCAAAAGGTGATGCAGCCACAACCCACAGTCCTACTAGAGATGCAGAAAAAGCAAGGCAAGAGGTGATGCAACCACCGTTCATGTAGAAGATGGAGAAAAAGTCAATGAGAAAAATAAAACTGCAGCGATCGTTGATTTACTATGCCATAATTATATGCTCAATTAACACGTAGTTACCATAATAATAGGATCTATTTCAAATTTAGAATAGTGATGTAACGATTTCTTATCTGTTAAGGAGATGAAGAGACACGACGATACCCTGTGGTCGGAAGATCGCCGGCGAGGGGCTACAGACAACGGGAACTCAAGGATTGAAAGGATAACGACATACTATGTGAACAATATACCAGAGGCGACAAAAAAATATGGTTTTCGAAAGATTTTTGAAAGGCACGGGAAGGTGGTCGATGTATACCTACATCAGAAGGCAGGTAAGGATGGCAAGTTCTATGGTTTTGTTCGATTCATAGGTATTGAAGATGTCGGTGCCTTAGAGAAAGAACTGAATGGAATCGACTACAATGGAGTTAAGCTTAGAGTAAATATATCAAAATACCCAAGGAAAACTCTCAATCCTAATGTTACAGTAGAACAAACAAGTAGATCATCAAAAAGAGGAGTACAGTTTCATAATGGACTTAGAGACGGTAGATCATTTGCTCAAGTGGTGATGCCGACTGTAACCGGTGGTCGTGTGACTCCAGATTATCAAAATCCTTGGGTACAGAATCCAATTAAAATACAGTCCGTACCTCATATGTCAAATTGGTTTAAGAAAGGAACTCTTATTGGGGAAGCAAAATCACTCAATCATCTGGGACATCTCCAATCCTTGCTGAAGATGGGAAATGATGAAGAGTTTGAAATCAAGTATATGGTTGGTCTAAAGGTTGCGCTGCATTTTTGCATATCAGTTGAGGTTGAGGCTTTTCTTGAGCACAAAAACAAATGGGTGTATTTCTTTAACTAGTTGGACAAAGTTATGCGGACGAACGAAACATCAATAGAGTAGCTTGGATCAGGATCAATGGACTGCCGATATATATATATATATATATATATATATATATATATATATATATATATATATATATATATATATATATATATATATATATATATATATATGGAGTGAAGACAATTTCATTAAAATATTAAAAAAATTTGGTTGCATTATCTCAAACTTCAATGATATTTATTCTAGGGTGGGCTACTCTTGTATTAAAATTGGTATACTCACTTAGTACCATTTGAAGATCAATGATGTAGTTAAGATTTCAGCAGATGGCAAAACCTTCGATGTGGCCATTGTCGAATTTGAGGATTAGTATTGGTACCCGTTCAACTTCGATCACAAAACAAAATCAGAAGAGGACCGAAGAAGGAATTTCAGATACATATGTCAATGGGGAAGACAATGACTTGGAGGAAGGTGAAATCAATCAAAAGTGTGCGTCGGGTGAAGGAGGAAAAAAAACAAAAAGATTCAGATACGTCTTCTTCGATGGTGTCGTCCCTGCCTCCATCTCCTCCGTCGCCGCCATTGGCTCTCGAAACAAGGACTCAACGGCTAAAAACTTGGAGGTAGTAGGCGAATCGTTGCCTGGGGAATCATCATCGATAGGACCGAATCAACGAAACAACGACAACTGTATTGAACACAATTTAGGTATGTGTGCTGATCCAATCCTTGAATCTGGTGTGCTAAATGTTGGGCCGACTTCAATGCCAATTGGGCTATTAAAATCCCTAGTCCAGGAAGGTTGGCCCTTCTCATTCTCTGTTGGGATTAGACCTTTGGACTCAACGATTAAACATAATACAATTCATTTTGCGAATCAACTAGAATCTAATATGAAATCAAGGAATGACTCTAAATTTAAAAGAAGGAGAAACAACAAATCTCCTTCAATAATAGATCCTTCGAAAAAAACCAAGCCCATTCCTGTTCTATCCCCCCCCCCCCCCCAGTTGTTTGGTGGTGAATCCATATTAGGTGCCCCTCCTCTTCCAGACCTCAATCATAGCTTAGGTAGTCATCATACGCTAGGACAAACTCAGGAAATCACAGAAGGGTATACAACTACCAAAGAGAAGATCCCAACGGTAGCTATAGGGCGTGAATTAGGGTTTGATGTTGAGGTTGATAGCCCAATTCTTGCTGAAATTATGGGTGAATCAGGTGAGCACGCTGGTGTCCAATGAATTGCTTGACACTGAAAATTAGAGGTATTGGTGAGGACTATAAAGTAAGTTGGGTAAGACGTCTTAAAAATCAACATAGTTTATCATTTATTTGCATCCAAGAGACCCAATTGGTTAACTTGGAGGATGTTAATGTGGTAGGATGTTGGGGTAATGGTAACTTCGACTTCGATGGTGTTGGATCTCATGGTAGATTCGGTGGGCTGATAAGTATTTGGGATAATTCTCTATTCCATTGCTTTGAAACCATAAAATCCCATTATTTTCTTATTACAATTGGGAACTAGAGAGGATTGAGAGACAAAATAGCAATCGCAAATATATATGGTCCACAATCGATCACAGGCAAAGATAAACTGTGGAGTGACCTTGTTCAAATCAAGCATGACAAACAAGGCATGTGGATCTTCATGGGAGACTTTAACATCGTCAGAAGACCAGAGGAAAGAGCTAACTCTCAATTATGTGCTAAATCTGCCTTTAAGTTCAATATATTTATATTCGAAGCTAGTCTTACGGATCATAGAATGGGTGGGAACAAATTCATTTATTTTTGTAGTGGTGAACTCAAACTTAGCAAGTTAGACCGTATACTTGTATGTTCAAACTTCACCAATGCTTTCCTCTCCTCGGTAGTAACTGCTCTACCTAGAGAAACTTCAGATCATTATCCTGTTTTGTTGACTACTTAATTGGTGGATTTTGGTCCTCCTCCGTTCAAACTATTCAACTTGTGCTTTCAGAAAGATGGTTTTAATGAGACAATCACACAAGCATGGTTGGAATTTAGAGGTTACAGTACTCTTGACTCCTATTTGGCGGCTAAGTTAAAACATATGAAAAACGAGATTAAGGCATGAAGGAGACTGGATTACCCCAAGGAACTAGCTGATCTTAAAAAGATTAAAGATCGTTTACAAGAGCTAGACTTAAAGCAAAAATCTAGAATAAAATGGGCTATGGATGGGGATGAAAATTCTAAATTCTTTCATGCCTTCATCAACAATAAAAAAAAAGGAAAAACAAAATAAATGGACTGCTAATAAATGGTGAATGGAAAGCATAACTAGATGCGATAAAAGCGAGGTCTTATGATTCTTCAAAAACAGGTTGTGTGAACGATGGCATCTAAGACCTAAACTTATGAATGAAAATCTCAAATGCATATCATCCACTAAGGTTAGTTTGTTGGAGTCCCCCTTCTCAGATGAAGAAATTAAAACAACTGTTTGGTCTTGTGGCAGTGAAAAGGCCCCTGGTCCCGATGGGTTCATGTTTAAATTCATTACAACTTATTGGGATTTGCTAAAGAAGGATATAATTGCATTCATTAAACATTTCAAGCGACATGGAGTTCTAGCTAAAGGTTGTTGCTCCTATTTCATCACGTTGGCTCCAAAGATCAAAGATCCTTTGAAATTGAATGATTATCGACACATAAGCTTGATTGGTTGTCTATACAAAATAATCTCTAAAGTTCTGGCAACGCGACTCAAAGTGGTTATAGGTAGTATCATTGGATAAGAACAAATAGCCTATGTGGAAGGAAGAAACATTTTGGATGGGCCTCTTATAGTGAATGAAATATGTTCATGGTCCAAGAAGTCAAAGAAGAAAACATTACTATTTAAATTCGATTTTGATAAAGCCTTCGATTCGGTGAGTTGGGAATATCTTGATTCGAATCTAGCACAAATGACTTTTGGTCACAAGTGGAGAAATTGGATTAAAGGTTGCTTGCAGGCTTGAGAGCTTCTGTAATCGTGAACGGGTTCCCGACTTATGAATTCGATATTACTAAAGGCGTGCGACAAGGGGATCCGCTCTCTCCTTTTTTGTTTATTTTGGCTATGGAAGGATTGAATGCGGTAATGAAAACTGCGTGTGCAAAAGGCATTTTTTATGGAGTACAACTTCCTAAAAATGGACCAATGATTTCACATCTATTCTATGCGGATGATGCAATATTCATTGGTGAATGGTTTAAAAGAAACATCAGAAATTCCGCTCAGATTCTTAGATGCTTTCATGCTGCCTCTAGTCTAAAGGTAACTTTTCATAAGTCTAAAGTCTTTGGGATTGGAGCGTCTGTTGGAATAGTATCTAAGCCCGTAACTATATTTGGTAAGTACTTGACCCGGTTGTGCATGGTCCTTTTGGGTTGCTTTCACCATAGCAACTTGACAGGGTAATTTATGGAGAGAGAGAGAGAGAGAGAGAGAGAGAGAGAAGATATTATGGTTTATTAATATATTATAAGAATAATATATTAAACAGGAAATCATATTATTTGATTAATATTAGTCATAAATTAATTAGGAATTAATTTGGTGACTAAAAGAGATTAATTGAAAAAAGGGGACTTAAACTGCCAAATGTGTGATAGTTTGATTTTGGGCTGTGAAACCCAATGGATTAAAGGGGTGAACGAAATTATGATGTGAGCCCATCATATTTTCGTCCATGGCCTTATTCCAGAAGGTTCTATGGGCTACTTAATGTTTAAGCTATCCATTAGGGTTTTGATTAAAACCCTAGCTACTCATAGTATAAATAGAACCCCTAGGCTACAGAAATCGGCAAGTGCTTCTCTAAGAACCCTAGAGTTGATTTTGTGTGCCTCCTCCCTCTCTCATATACTACCCTCATGCTAGTTGGTGTTTGTAAGCCATTAGAGGAGTGACACTTTTGACTCTAAGCTCCAAATACAAGAAGATTCAAGCCATTGAAGAAGAGGTAATCATCTAGATCTGCTCTTATGTGATAATCTCGAAATACATATGCTAGATTAGGGTTCTTGAGTCTTGGATGAATTGCATGTACAATAGAGAAAGCTAGATCCAAGCATTAGGGTTTGCATGATCACATAGGATGATCTTGTGGCTAAAGCTCATCAGTGGTATCAGAGCCTTGATTGGTTTCTATTGTATTGATTCTTTGTGTTTCATTCATGCTTAGAAAATCGCTTTTTTGCTCCTCTAATTGACGAACTTGTCGAGTCCCAAAGTGAACTCGTCGAGTAGGATGAACTCGGCGAGTCCCTGTGGGAACTCGACGAGTCATGCTGCCAGAAAGAGGGATTGTCGGGATTTCATGCCTATTTTGCTGTGGGATAATTGTCAAATCCTTTTTTATTGATAAATTACGAATTTTATTGATATTGGATGATTATCCTTGCCAAAATAAAAGACAATTTCAAATTGTTTGAATAATAATTTCCTTATATGATAAAAGTTGATTATTTAAATTATTTGGTAAATTATCTTGTAAATAATCTTGATTAGGTCAAATTTATATATTCATTAAATTAATTGTTTAATTTAAAATTATTTGCTATTTGATCCTTTATGTTTGAAAAGTTTCAAAACTTCTCAAGTTTTGAAATTTAAAATTTTGATTAAAAAATTTAATTTTGAAATATTTAAATTCTAAACCCTAATTATTTGAAATGTTTAAAACTTGCCCTCAAGTTTTAAAATTTAAATTTTAATTAAAAGTTTAATTTTAAAATGTTAAATTCTAAAACCCTAATTTTTCAAAAAGTTCAAATTGCACCCTTATGGTTTTATTAAATTAATTAAGTGTATAACTAAAAGAGAGTTAATAAATCCATAGTGATATGGTTTACATTTAATTAAATTAAAAATATAATTTATTAAATTAGACCACCTAGTATTTTAAAAATGTAAAATACACCCTTATACTATCTATAATATTAAAAGTCTAATATTATATATGTATAACTTAAACTGTTACTCTTACCGT